TCTTTATAAATTAATACCCATGTACTGGTGAAATTGACGCGACCTACAGATTTATCAACATCACATCGTTATGCCTCATGGCTTCTGCGACATAATTCGTTATTAAGAGAGCATAAGCTGGTGAAGTATAATAAATGCACTTTATTATAAAAGTGAATCACTGTAGCATGGTGCATGACCGGTGAATTTCTTCGTTAATGTGACCTTTGATACAGGCTAAAATATCTATACCAGCTGAGTTACCTAACCTAGGCAATCCCATAATCACGAGATACCATCATAACTAAATGCTTTACCATGCTCATAGAAGTCTCTCTCCTGTATCACGAAGGAATGAAAGAAGGTTCTCTTCAAGGACAAAACAATTACTTCCTCCTGGTACACCATTTCTATGTTCAGGCCCTAATAGAAGCTTGTCTTTCGTGTCTTTGGAAAAGGTATCTTCTCACACTTCCTGTTCATCATTCATTCTATCTTTAACAGTTTCTGCTGTCTTTCCCCTCTTCCATGGATCTTAATGACCACCACCCATGTCACCCTGCCTATATAACTGGCCACATCCCCATTCCACTTGCTTTGCTCATGAAGACAGTGGTAGTATATCTCAGTCTCGCAACTCAGAAGACAATTGAATATTGCATATACTAACAAGTGTGGAGGCTTTGAAATGACTGAAGTTTCATAAACAGTCTATTAAAAAAACATATTGTCTACAACAGTCAAATAGATATTTCTAAATTGTATGCTCCAGCTCTCACTCTCAGACATAGGAATATGAATACATTACAGAGAGCAGTCTTGAAATAACAACACTATTTTAGCTTATGCTTATCTCCTTTTGGAGATGGTGATATGCCCTGAAGATGGAGACAGTAAGGATCTCTGAAGTGTCAATATTACCTGTGACATCTACAATGTCATTATGTGAAAGTTAATCATTGTCATTGAAAAGCCATGAAAGCCTGAAGTCTACAATTAATATTCTTACTTGTCACATAAGTGCTAAGTAAATATTTTCATAACAAGTTACTTATAATATAATAATGTTATCACAGCATCTTGTTGCACATCACATATTTCTTCATGTTAGCCATTAACTGTCTCACATGCAACTTGTTTTTTAAAACCTTTAAAAGTCTTAAACGTTAAAATCTCATCTATATCACGCTACATGTTTTGACCAACATTGGTCATCTTCACGTGTCTCTAAAATTGCTGATGAAACTGCTGTGCTTCTGTCCATAAATTCATCTTTTGGGATATGCCCTCACCTATGCACCCATGTGTCTGTACCACATATTAGAATTTTGTGTATGACATGTGTTGGTGTTTCTTATGGTATACATGTGTGGGGACATCCCACATGGCACGCTGTGTCCACCGGTCTTTTAGACAACACTCACTCCTTAGTGAATATTGCATTGCCGGACGTTTCATTCATATTTATAGAAGCACGCACTGCAAATTTCCGCTCCTCATTTTCGCTAGCCAATCAGCGCTCTGCAAATTGTTGCTCCTCAAATGCAAGTTTCGCTCCGCCCACCGAGCTGGGTATAAAAAGGAGCAGCTCCAACCCGGCAGCATCAGTCATCAGTTCCACATCGGTCTACAGCACACTTCGTCGCCAGCGCTCGGTCTTCAGAGGCATCGGCACTTTGCTGCGCCAGGCACGACTGCCTCAGCTGTCCGGCTTTCACACCCGACTCACTGGGCAACACGGCTGCCTCGATTCGCCGGTGGTTATGCCCGACACACTGGGCAACTGATGTAGCTACCGCCTCTCCACTCCTGCGACTGCGCTCGGCAAGCAAACCTTTTCCAGCAACCAAGCAACCACCAGCAACGGCCGCACTGCGGCCAGTCAACTGACTAAGCCGCCTCAACACACCGCAACCAACATCCCCTTTCTACCAGCGAGTGCCGCGCTACTTCACTGGCCAAGCATCTCAGCAACCAATGGTCCTTTTCAGGACCTACAAACTGTTCCGAAGAAGTGGGTTGTCATTGAAGTAACGATAATACCCCACACATGTATATGTACTTACCCTATGGTAACGGGTAGTTCCTCTTATTGTGTTGTACGTAGCTGCTGTGAATGTGTGCTAAGCTGGGTTGGTTCTGATTTATAGAAGGTGTGTATGCTGCCCTCTGGTGTTCTAATTCTTGTAATGTTTCAAATATTGGGCTATAAATGTCGGTATATGTGTCATTCATATGTAGTCTGTTTTTATTAATTTAACACGTGTGGTACTTTTCTAATGTGTTTATGTGTTTTCTTGTTCTCTGTCTTTTTTAACTGTATCAGTTATACTCCCATAAAGTGTGTACTGTGCTCAGTATATGATTTGAATATCCTGAATTACTCTTATTATTCCTAAATGCCCTATATGTTCTTTATATCTTGTGCAAAATGTTTGGCCCTTTTTCTCTATGTATAAGGGCAGTCAAATGAAAATGGGTCATCTCGCATAACTCACACAGCGCACAAATTGGTAACACTGGAATCTGCTTATGGTGTGAACATCTGGTGGGGACTTAGGAAAGCACAGCGACAACGTGCCCTTGCACACTAGTCATTTGTTTATTGTGCTGGAAGTAAGGTTAACGCTACATGTGGTCGTCCAACATCAGTAATGGAGGCGGGTAAAGAAGAACAGAGAAGTGTAGTGCACTTTTTGACTGCTGAAGGAGTATGAGAACAAGAAATTCATCGTTGCATGTATGTTGTTTACGATGAATACAACATGTCACATTTGCGTTTGCTGGCGTGGCATAAGAGATTCTGAGAGGGACGTGTGTCACTGCAAGATGATGCTGCCCAAGGACAGGCTCATCGTGTCATCACTCTTGATATTATTGCTGCGTTGGATGGTCACATCCGGGCAAACCGACGGATTACTGTGGAAGAAATTAGTCTTTTGATGGGAATAAGTCATGGTTCCGTATACGCCATTGTGACAAAACACCTGCTGTACTGCAAAATCTGCACGCAGTGGGTTCCACATCAACTTACGGAGGAACAGGAGACTCAGAGAATGGCTGCATCACTGGCTCACTTGCAACGATACCATGAGGAAGAGTATGCTTTTCTGTCCTGTATTGCCACTGGGGACCAAACTTGGTGCCACCATTTTGAATCCGAGAGCAAACGGCAGAGCCAACAGTGGAAACGTGAATTCTCCTCCACCGAAGAAATCCAAAGCCATACACACAAGTTCCAGTAAAGTGGTGATGACATTCTTCTTTGACTGCAAGGGCCCTCTGCTTGTCGAATTTCTCGAGCATGGGGCCACAATCAGTGCACAGCGCTATGAAGATACTTTGCAGAAACTGAGACGTGCCATAAAGTCAAAACGCCCTTGAATGCTATCGAACGGCAGTATCCTTCTTCATGATAATGCGCGCCCCCACACTGCCAGCTCTGAGGAATACGCTACAGAGATTCGGTTGGGAAGTGCTTCAGCATCCCCCCTACAGCCCAGATCTCTCCCCATGTGATTTTCACATTTTTGGAGACCTGGAGAGAGACATTTGTGGATATCGGTTTGCATCGGATGAAAACATGTGTGGCTGGGTAAAGATGTGGTCCTGTAGACAGCCCATAAGCTTTCTCAAGGATGGGATTGACTGTCTTATCTCCCAGTGGGATAAATGTATTAACAGTTTTGAAGATTACTTTTGAGGTAAGAAATGTTCTTTAATATGTTTTGGCTTCTGACCCGTTTTCATTTGACAGCCCCTGATATTTTAGTGGGAAATCCATTAATTTAATTTGGTAAATGCCACTTTTCTCATATCTGTCCATATATGAAGGGGCTTTTGTTGTTTTGTATTGTGTTTTGTGTTTGGAATTCTACTTTTATCCGTGTTTCTTTCTAGAGTTTGGAATATACAGAAAACATACACAAACATTTATCATAATACTGAATGGCTCCTGCCACCCATATGAACGTAAAACAATCGAGGACTGACAATCTAATGAACAGAGTGTACACATACCCAATAACAAGACAAGCACAGGAGAAAGAACTAAACATCATAAATGACTCACCACATAACAATGAATTATAAACCTAGGTGCAAGACACCTAAATATAACAAAAACACTGATCCATGACACCAGAAAACCAAATGGGTCATTTTCACATACAGCAGTAAAGAAACAAAGAAAATTACAAAACTCTTTAAAGAAACACAAGTAAAATTAGCATTCCAAACACAAAACACAATACAAATTTGAACTTATGGACTGAAGCACAGCAGTTTCATCAGCAATTTTATAGACACCAGAAGATGATCAATGTGGATCAAAATGTGTGGTGTGCTACCAAAGAAATTTTTGTGTTTAAAACTTTTAAAGATTTTAAAAAGCAAGTTGCATGTGAGATAGCTAATGACCAATAGAAATAAATTACTTACAACATATTTTCTCTTCATATGATATCAATGTGTGTTTATCTCAAACCAGATACACTGTGGATAAAATGTTCTTCTGACACCAGTTGTCACGTATTGGGTGTATAATGCGACAAATATCTTCACGCCGTATTTGATATAGCGAATTTTATTTCACATTCGCACTTACAATCACCCAAATTACAGATTCACAATTACTGCTATCTGCAGTATCACAAATACGACACTCCAAATGCCAGAATGCAACTGACTGGTTGCTGGCTAACTCAGAACTCTCTCGGAACTAACTCGTAGGTGGCTGCCTTGAGAACTGTTGATAACACACTTGCTCAACTACTAATTAACTCGGCGACTGTCACATTACAACTAACTCGTAGCTGCTGTGCAGTTCCCTTATATAGCCGCAGTGCTTGCCTGTTGCGTAATGAGTGCCACGTCATCCTGTTACGTCACCGCGCGTTGCGCGTTACGTTACCGTGCAGAGGGGGGGAGGGGAGCGCTGACTCACCCGCCGCGTCGCTGCTGGTGGGGGGGGGTTCTCCGTTGCGCAACATGTCACAATATAATTATTTTCAGATTGACAATTTTGAACATATTAAGATTAACATTTATTATTGATATTACAATTGCCTCCACACAATTTGTAACATGTGCTTTTGATCATTTGTTGCTCTAGGACAATGTATTACCTACTGAGTCCCTGTAACAATGCTTCATATATTATCAGACATTTATTAACAATTAATGGTAAGGCAGGAAGGGCCAGGGACTGCTTTAAGATAATTTCTCTGGATACACTGGAAATACTATATTTATGTATATAATCTCAACACAGCCATCTTTCAGCCCAACTGGGTACCTCCAAAATGAAAGTTTCATGCACTACTGCCATGCTAACCAGCATGATGTGGTTTGATAAGTGAAGTCCTTACTGCATAACAGTGAGTTCATCAACACTTCATTTGTCATGTTTTATTTCCATGAAATTACTGCATTTCATTAACCTTTCAGAATCTTTGTACTGAGGATCAACAGCATGAAGCTTCAGCATTGTGACCTCTATTTTGTGTTACTCTTAGTATCTCAGATTGTGACAAGAAATTAGGCATCTTGAGGACATCAAATTATTATAAACACTACTGTAAACTATTAATTCTGTATTTTAAGGCAAGGAGCACTGATAATTGTAGTATTACTGCCCATATCATCAGTGCCAATAAATCAAATTCATAAATTCCACCTACCATATCAGTCTCCTGTAAAAATTTGAGTGGTGATTTGAAGTAGCAATAAGGTTCTGAACATTTCAAAGCGGATCTGTTGTAACCATACAGACACAGCATTGCTCCTTCATAAGAATATCGATAGTAACTTACATAAGTCAACCATCTTAACCAGTTGGCCACATCTTGCAGCTTCAAAAAGAAACCAGAGAACAACACCAATGGAATATTTGATGCAGGGACCATGAACATGCTAATCTGTAAATAGATTGAAAATGACATGCTTACAGTTCAATTAGTATAATATAAGCCATAGGAGGGACTGGTAAATTCTGTTTGTAAAGAATCAATTATGTGAGTGTGAAACTGTGCCCACCCACCCATTTTAGTTCTACTCAGTGAAGCTTTAATTACTCTTTTCAAATCCAAACAGTCTTTCTTAATTAAGAAAGACCAAACTGTCGGAAAATAAGTCTGATACTCAAGAATTGTATGGGTGTAGTAACATCAAACCCAAGCAGATTTTGTTCTGCTTTCCTCTGTACTTGTTTACATGCTTAAGCAGTACTGAAAAGATAAGTGTAATTTATTTTGTTACATGAGCTGAACAAGGGGGAGGGGGGGGGAGTCTGCACACACCTCTCTTTCCCTAAACACAAATATTCTCCCCTCCCCTTCACTTCTGGACTGCCAGGCCACACAGTTTATGTTAGCAGCCTGACATTCTTGAAGTTGAAACATGAACAAAACCATGGTTTCCAGACAAGAGGACAGTCTCAGTCAAGGGTCAGGAGTGACAGTGTTGATGTGTGTAGAAGTGACACAGCACTGTGAGTTGCAAATTAGTTCAGTGCAAGCCAAGACCAGATAAGTGGCATTACAGTGAAATAGTAGTGGAAAAGACAAGCTAACATAAAGATCTTGAATGAATACTGACACTGAGCCAGTAACTGTTCCAAAACACAATAAACATTATAACACTTAATCACAACACCTACTCGGTTTTGAAAGTAACTGAGTGAATTACCTAGTAATGTAAATTGCAACTATTTCGTTATCTAATGTTTTCTGAGTTGAGATACTGATTCAGTACTTCAGTGTTTTTTAAGGCTTTCATTTTATACATACTATTTTCTGCTGTGTCTTGATGTGCAATTCTGTATTTTCTATCTATTGAATGACAGTACTATACGTATTATATTATCATAAAGGAGCTCAGAAGTCTGGACAAAATGTCACCACACATGAATCACAATACCAATGGCCGCACCATAGCTCAAGCGGTTAGTCACTGGCTTCCCACCGCGGCAGCCCAGGTTCCAACCCAGGTCTGGTCAAGCGGGATTTCTGGTGGACAAAGTGGCGCTTGGTTAGGTTCTTTCCGAGTACTTCGGTTTTCCCTGCCAATCTTCATTCCACCAAATTCTCCATCATCATAATCACCCGGGGCAGGCTACAAGAGGCCAATCAGTGGCCACTGTGCCAAGTGGACCCAGTTGGACTCCACCCCCCACTAAGCAAATCACAATACCAATAATAATATCCCTAAGGTAGGAGTCAGGATAGCTCAGTTGGTACAACAACAGGCTACAGGCTGGATGGTCCAGGTTCAATTCCTGGCAGTGCTAAATTTTTCTCTTCGCCACAGCTTCCAGACTGAATTTGGGGCTCACCCAGCCTCTTATCCAATGGGTACTGAGGGCTCTTTCCTTGGGAGAAGGGGGTAAAGTGGGAGGGACATGAAGCAGACCACTCACCTCCATTTAGTTCAGGGGTCAAGAAAGGTGGAGCTATACCTCCACTCCCCCATATGTTTTCATGGCACAGTGCTTAACTTATCAGGGACAACTTTACCTTTAATATCCTTATGGTACAGTGTATATGTTGTAGTACTACTCAGTAATCATCTGTACATGGCTTTCTAAAACAATTCCATATCAGAGTATTACTGTGTTATCTCTATATACAAAAACTAAGTCACAGTACTGTGAAGACATGAATACATTAAAATGCGTAACTGTATCCCACCACTCCTCTAGCTTATTCTGCTGAAATCAGTAGGAACCTCTCATGCAGGTAATTTATCATTCTTTCATGTTCGTGTTCATGTTCATTTATTTCAAATTCAAGCAGATCCAGATACAGGTTGAGAAGTATATTCACAAACCATTGGATATAGAATGAGTCACATATCAGAACAAATGTTGGAACAAGTCTGGGCAACATAATGTAAAATATACATACCACAGACATAGAACACAAATAAATATGATTACAAAAAACTGAATGCAAATGAAGAACATATTAACCATTCATACAATACTCATCAGTGGTGAATTATGAACTAGAAAACAGGCAGAAATTCAGCTAGATTACTTCATAGTACTGAGTCTGAGTACTGTATCTCTGTCTCGCACATTGAAGTTAATATATATGTGAAGGCACAGAGAATGGACCTACCTGGTTAACTAGATTCATTTTCATTATATTGTAACATATATTGTAATGTATTGTCACATGTTGGGTGTATAACGCGACAAATAACTTTCACGCCGTCTTGGATATAGTGAATTTATTCCACTCGCTCTCACATTCATACAATTCAGTTTCACAAGTACTGCCATCTGCAGTATCACACTTACTTCCGCTGCACTAGGCAACTTCACAATCCGCACTGTGTCACTCCTATTCACACACTCTCTTCACATACTGCTCAGCTGGCTATTTATACCAAAGCTGTTACGTCACTGCTGGCAGGGGAGGGGGTGTCCTGCATAGCGTAAATACATCACAGTATATTATATTGAGTATTGGGCCAGAAGTCAGATGTAAGAGAGTCGCCATCGAAGGTAGTATGCGCCGAGATGTCGCATTGAAGTAGAGACAGAAGTTGTGATACTGCAAGTGGTAATAACTGTAAGGTGTGTAAGAGTGGGTGTCCAATAAATAATCACTAAATCCGAGACCCACGTGAAGTTATTTGTCGTGTGACATACCCAACACTTTGACAACTGGTGTCAGAAGTGGGATTAATCGGACCGAATTTAAAAGATTGGACTTGCACACGTGACCGACAAGATACGAACTTAAACGCAAAGACAACGCAAAGAAAAATGGATTCTCAACAAATAATGGAATTCCTGCTGGCCATGCAAGAAAAGGCAAACACCAGACATGAGGCTTACCAGGCAAAGGCGGACGCCAGGCATGAGGAAATGTTGGGCATGCGAGAAGAGATTAGAACCAACCAGACCAAGGAGGAGGCAGACCCCAAAGAGTTGCTGGTCGGTTGGAAAGCCTTTGGAGACGAGATGGCGGCCATGTGAGAAAAGAGGGATGCCGATACAAAACCCTGGGAAGAAAGAGTTGCCGCCATACGAAACGAAAGGATAACCGTCAGGCCAGAAGAGACTGGTGCCGATACGAAAGCCTGACTAGAAGAGATTGCCACCACGCGAGACAAAATATGGGCCGCCAGGCGAGAAATGATGGACGCCAGCCACAAGGAGATAGTGGCCGAAAGCAAACCCGAAATGAACATAAAAGACGACGGCCTGCCAAGAGATGGACGCACGACCAGACGAGAAGCCGACCTCACCAGACAGGAAACCTGAGGCGGCACAGAAAGAAGAGGTCCCCATAGAAGACGCCCAAATAATGCCAGTCGGAGAACCGAAAAAGAAAAGGCGCAAGAACCGCTGCCGCCCGATGAACGAACGGATCCAGTGTCAGGATGGGTGCCGAAGAAGAGGGCTGGCTGTAGCCCGTGGAGGGACGAGCCACTGTGCGAAATTGGCAAGGCAAAAACAGGAAACCGACTAGCTGTCCCGTCGCGCGACAGTGGCACGACGCATGAGAGACATCTTGAGGCCGAACATGACCCGCTGTGCGAAAGGGACACGGAATACACAAACCGACTGGAAGGTGTCCCGTTGCGCAACAGTGGCACGACGCAGGAGAAATGCCTTTAAGAAGGAAACTACTCAAGGAACTTTCGGATCCCGGAGAAAGGAATTGGCCGTCGCCAATTGTCTAGAGTGTCTCTGCAAGCAACCGTATGATAAGTCTCAACCATTGTGGGGTGACCGTAGCAGCAAAGAGAAACCAGCAGTGGGAACTTTTGCGCTATGGTCTCGTACCAGCAAGTGGCGGGAAGACCAGGAGGGACGACGTCAGCAAGTGCAGACCATACTTCAAGTGATGTTACGTTGACAGAGGGAACTTCTCAAGAAAGACATGATCAAGGATTGGACACTGTGGAGGGATCGATCTCCGCCAAAACGAAAAAAGGGGAACGGCCTGTATGGGAGGAACCGGTAACACAGAAACATCGGCCTCCCCAGGAAGAATGAATGAGGAGAGAATGAGCGACAAATGAATGTCAGACAACGGAATCAACAACCGCTGGACCTCGGAAGTGCTCTGGGCGAGCACTCTGGAAGAAGAGGGGCGAATGCAAGGAAGGCAAAACACCAAAGGAAAGGCGTAGGTACCACTCGGAAGATGAACACCCCCGAAACAGAAAAAAGAGGAAGAACCGTTAGGCTCTTCGGGGACGAACAACCATTAGAAAGGAGCAATGTAACATGTTTGGAGTAGGTATTTCCATGGCAACGCAACGACAGTGAGCGGTTGCATAGACAATGCTGAAACAACAAATGCGTCTCCCCGGAGATGAACAACAGAGTGCTTGCTGCGCTCGTTGCGTAACAACGGACAGTCGGAACATCGGTAACGGAACCGTTCCTATTGTAGAGGTTGTCGTGGTGATGGACGTAAGATAACGCGTCACATTTTTCCCTTCTAAAGGTTGTTCTTCCCCGAACAGCCTAACAGTACTTCCTTGGCTTCGTTTCCTGAGTTGTTCTTCTTCCTAACGGTATCTTTGCCCTTCTTTCGTTTTCCATCCGCCCCTTTCTTCCAGAATGCGCGCCCCGAGCACTTCCATGGTCCAGGATTTGTTGGTCCCATTGTCTCACATTCATTCGTCACTTTCATTCTTTCCTCATTCATTCTTACTTGGGAGGCTGGTGCTTCTACGTCACCGGTTCCTCCCATACGGGCCGTTTCCTTTTTTTTTTTTTTTTCGTTTTGGAGGGGGTCGACACCTCCACAGTGTACAATTTTTGACGGCTAGCAACCCAGCAGTAAATCTGGCAATTCGCCACATGATCATCACGTTGACAGTCTCGTAAGGGGTCTTCTTTCGAGTTCCTCTATCGCTGTCCTGATCTACACCCTCCGATGCCGTTCTTGGTTGTCACCTTTTCCTTCTGACATAGCGGCCGTCTGCCCCCTATGTTCTTTATTCCCGTTCTTCCTTTGTGGAAAATCCGCACTCTTCCTCTGAGTCTCCGGATCCTTTCCTCATACTTGGCCCTGATGCAATTTCTCCTGCCGACGCTTCTCTTGCGCCAGGCGATTCTTGGGCGACCGGACATCTTTCTGTCGGTTTCCTGTGTCTGCCGTGCTACTTCCACACGGTGGCTCGTCTGGGGTCCACAATTTTCCCGTGTCGAGTCCTTCGGTTTCTGGCGACGACGCTCCGCGGCCAGTTTTTGGTCCTTGCGCCTTTTCTTCTTCAGTTCTCCGACCGGAATTACTTCGGCGTCTACTTTGGGGACCTTTTCTCTCTGTGTCGCCTCAGGTTTCCTGTCCAGTGAGGTCGGCTTCCTCTCTTCTTGAAGTGCCTTCATCTCCTGGCAGGCCAACGTCTCACTGTGGTTGGCATTCATCTTTTTATCTCTCATGGCAGCTATCTCTTCTCACCATGCTTTCATATTGGCCTCATGCCTGGCATCCGCTTTTTCTTGGCCAGCTCTGATTTCCTTCAGCAGCAGTTCCATCATCTGCTGTGACTCCATTTTAGCTCGTGTGGCATTATAACACTCGAGGTGGCGTTAGTCTAATAACTCTTCCAAATTCGCCTCAGAATCCAAACTGATCCGATTAGTCCCACTTTTAAATTCGATCTGATTAATCCGAATTAATCCCACTTCTGACACCATTTGTCATGTGTTGGGTATGTCACGCGAAAAATAAGTTCTCGTGGGTCTTGGATATAGCGAATCTTTATTGGACACTTACACACCTTACAATTATTATCATTTTCAGTGTCACTTGACTTCTGGCCCAGTACTCCAATGCGACATGTCAACTATCCTTGGTCGTGGTTGGATCTCAACTGTCTCTGGCGGCGGCTATCCAAAGATTGTCTCGTTCTCTCAATGCTCTGTACATGTTGTAAGCTCTGCTTATATATGGGTTATGCAGACTGGATACCAGACACCATTCCTCAGTTCCGTTACCACTGTTCAGACAGTCCGTTGTTACGGGAATGCTAATTATAGAATACACCGGCAACGTGTTTCGTCTCATCCGTTGTTACTCAACAACAATTTGTTGCTACGATTTGTCGCTGCGGGAACTCCCCAATTTCCACATATTCATTGTCGTGGAAGTGTCCGTTCCGATTGTAGCGGTTGTTGCGGTGACGGACATAAGATAACGCGTCACAATACTGAATAACCAGTCATGAACATATACCAGGAAAGCGTTCTTCAGTTTGGGGGTTATGCAATGTGCTAAGAATTCCTAACCCTAAAACATCATGGTACAAAATGTTATAGAGAGCCTTAAACTTGGATGCATTCTTTGGAAGAACCTAAGAAAAAAGAGAAAATGGGCATAAGACATAAGACATAAGACATAACTTGGAATGCCAGGAATCTATTACATTTTAGGTTCAATGAAGTGAGAAATTTCTCACTATCAGTAATTAATGTCGGTTTAGGAACACATTAGATAATAATAATAACAGGAGAATTTGCAAGGCTTAAGTTAGATTCAACAGGAGTACAGGAGGTCAAGTGGGAAAAGGGTAGCAGTTGACCAGCAGATTACTACACATTTTTCTATAGAAATGGGAATTCTAATCATCACATATGGACAAGTTTTTTTTTGGTAAACAGGGACTCATGTTAGCAGTTATGAGGGTAGAAGTTGCTACCACCAGGTTTTTATACGTAATACAAAAAGGTCAGTGTAAAGCTATTCTGAATATGCATACACCAACAGAGGATAAAAATGATAAGAACAGACTTCATGTGGAGCTAGGTAACCAGAGAGTGTATTTCATCAATTCCCTAAGTACTGCATAAACAGTATGTTAAGACATTTCAATGCAAAAGTAGGGAGGGAAGATACTTTTGAACTGACAACTGAGAACAAATGTTACATTCAACAGGTAATGATAATGGAGCCAGAACAGTACACTTCGTCACATCCAATATCTGTCAAGAGTATGATGTTTCCATACTGCATCTTTAAAAAATTCACTTTAGCTTCCGCTGAAGAGAAGAGACATAACTGCATTTATCATATATTCATAGACTGAGGACAACATTCAGATATTGCTAATGTCCAGCCTTTAAGGCTAGCTGAATGTGATACTGACTACTGACTATGGCCTTATGGTTGCAGAAGTTATGGAAAGACTGCCATTAAGTAAATGAGCATTGAAAGTTTGATGAGGCAAGTTCTGATCTCAAGAGGCTAAATGATATAAATTAAAGAAATGTATGAGGTTAAAACCTCAAGCAGCAATGGAGCTTTGAAAATTTATATGTTAATATGTATATCAGTAAGGCTTCAGAAAGTAATAATTATTGAGACACATCATTGTTATCAACAACATACGCACAATTCTTTATTAGAGTCCATTGCAATACAACGATATAATGGTCAAGGCCAAAATTAGCTTAACTACATGTTTCGGCTATGTTGCAATGGACTCTAATAAAGAAATGTATATAATAACACAACAGGATGCATGAAATGAAAACTACATATATGATTTTAACCAATATTCTTCTCTGAAGGTGAACTTTTAAAATATATTTAAATTTAACCTATGGTCAAGTCATTCATTTATAATTTGCCTGAACGATTTCTTACCCACACTGCCCTGAAACAATGAGAGACCTGTACTTATTTTGGCTTGTTTTGGACTTCATCCATCATCTGGTATGTAAAAGACAAAAGACCACGACGTTTCGGAGACTGGATCTGTCTCCATCTTCAGGTGGGTAGGGGAGGATAAACCTACTCAGTTGGGCCCATTAGAAAGAGCTAGTCTCAATCAATGGACCAACTGAGCAGGTTTATCCTCCCCTATCCACCTGAAGACGGAGACAGATCCAGTCTCCGAAACGTTGTGGTCTTTTCTTCTTTTACATACCAGATGATGGATGAAGTCCAAAACAAGCCAAAAGTAGTACAGTATACACCATCGTCAGAATCCTTTAAAGTCTAACTAAGGAGAGACCTCATCACTATTGTTTGTCAACTCTGTTTTAAATATGCTATCATCAAGAACAAACAAAACCAAGAGGAGGGCAAATGAATGGTACACATCAAGTTTTAGTTCATGCTAATGGTGCTGAATTGATAGGCTTAAATATAATTAGCATAAAAACACAAAAAGCTCTCTTGGATGTTAGCAAGTAGAATTGGTCTGTGAAAATCAAGTGTATGTTCAGTAGACTCAGTCAAGACCAGGGACTGTAACTGAACCCACAACATTAATTAATGCTTTAATGTAATTAAACAAATAACATAAACTGGGGCTAGAGTTCCCACACTAAGCCAAAGTGCTTGACCTCTGGAGCACAAGTGTTTACATTTTGTAAGAAACCATTGTTAGAAACAAATGATAATGGTACACTAGGAAGTGTAAAGGTATTATCTCATAAATGAATGACAGCTACATCATGCCACCTGATAAGAAAAGCCATGAAGGTTTCCTCTCAAGATCAGCAGTGAGTAGATAAGTCTCTGCACATGTGACACAAAGACTCCATCCTGCCCAGTGCTAATGAATAATGTATTTTGGGAATTTGCTAACTACTGAGCAATAAGTCAGAAGTAATGTTTCTAATCTATTACTTTATCATCATCATAATGTATGGAGACGTACAATATCCTTAGAAAACGCAGCAGTGTTGAAGTATTTGGGAACAACAGCAACAAAGCAGAACTGTATTCATGAAAAAAAAAAAAAAAAAAAGAGTAAAGTAAGTCTGGGGAAAGCTTGCTGCTACTGAGGTCAGAATCATTTGTTTTCCTTACTGCAATTTAAAACCATAAGATAACAATATTAAAAATTATAATTCTACCTGTTGCTTTGTATGGATGTGAGAATGTTCTCTTTCATTAAGGGCAGGATATAATCAACTGAGGGTAAAGAAGAGTTATGTCTTGTGGGATATAACACTGTGTAGTCCAGTGAAATTGAATCAATGTTCTGAGGAACAAATTGCCACAGGCTTAAAGAGCAAGCCAAGCAAGCTGCTACTTGCTGTCTGCTTCATGATGTTTTCAGCTTTACTTTAATTTCTCAACTGGCTTCCCATTCTATTTGACAGCACGAATTATATTTAATACATGACTCCATCCAAGCTGTTATTCTAATTTTGCATAGCATAAGTTCATGTTGTGAAGCCCAGGAAACAAAGCAGCTATTAGCAATTCTTGGATTAAAGGATGTTTTATTAATACATATAATTATATTAATGGATACTGACCTCCAAAGGGTTAATAACAGCACCTGCTGCAAGTCCAAAGTTATGGGAAATAATAGTCATCACGAAACATATGGCCCAGAACTGTAAAAACCTTGTCCCATCATAAGGCTGACTTGTCAAAAAATATCCCGGAAGTAGGAATATAGTAGGACACAAGATCTACCAAGAAGAATAACACAAATATAAACGTTAATTTACTGAAAACTAAAAGTCAAGGTAAGGTATGGTAAGGTAAAATTTGAGTTACACATACTTGTAAGATCAAGACTTAGAATTCTGAAATTGTCTTTCCTTAATGATCTAACATAGTAGAGGCAACAATACTTATCAAAACTTAGAAACAATATTCCTAGAAGGAAAGGTATCTTTTAGTTACTTGCCTGCAGAGGGATGTCTGCAATCAATTTGGAGAAGAAATATGCTTTCAGTGAGTACCAGTTGTTCAGATGTTCACGTAAAACTACTGATGTCTCTAAAGGAACTGAAATATATAACATTGAAAACTTGAAATCTACTACAAATTGTATACTCGTATTTCGGAAACCTGTGCCATTGTGATTATAATGCATGCATATAATTTGACAATATTATTTGTAATATTACTTTTTTTTTTACCATTACATTATAAAATTGATTCCTTACAGTTAAAGACGGCTTCTGTATTATTTTCTATTGCTCTTACTTGCTATTACACTTGGCATTGCATTGGCGAAGAACAGGAACATCATAAAGAAGAAAATGCATCCGGCATTGCTTAGTGCTTTTGAAGCATCATTTCCAACATCATAATAGACAGCTCCAAGTAACAGTCCAACAACAAAATGGGTGATCACTCTAAGTTGAACTGTCAACTGAAAAATACAGGTTTGGTTTTCATAGTATGTGTCCAGTTATGTACCTAGAATTTCTGGGTTGATAAGTCTGTTATTATATTGATATGATTGCTTGCATTGATTAAGGTGTTTCTTTGTAAACTATCACTTGTGGCAACCAAATCCTCTCCATTGGTGAACACAGCTTAGAAATGGATCATATGCAAGGGCATGTGGGCAATGGCCAAAAAGGTCAACAGTGACAATATCTAAAGGCACCAGAGAAACGTATTTTACCACAGTTTCTTGGAGGGAGAAGAATAAAAATAACTCTGTGAATGTCCAGCAGTTTCAGAACTTCAGCTGAGCACTTAAAATGTTCAATGTTATTCAGTCATAATGTAACTGAAATGACAAAAATATTTGTAGTAAAAACAGGATTGGAGAGTAACTTAGATAGCTATATGTAAGTTAGCACAGAAAATAAATAAGAATTTATCTGTACTACAAATGATGTGCAGAACTTCTATAGAAAATTTAGCATCCCTTCCTGGTTACACATATGGCTCTAGGAAGTTTATGAAACCAACAATTTTTGAGACATATTTTGTCATGTGAAAAGCATATGCATATTAAGAATGATACTTGGACATGAAAATACTATTCTAATGTAAGAAATTGCTAGTTAAATAAAAACATACATCAATAACCTCAAATAGCAAAATGAATGCAATCAAATTTGCATTTATGATGGAAGAATTAATAATGTAGAGGTGTAGTTTTAATGAAATACGTTGCTCTGTACTGTACCTTACATGGATACAAGAATTTCTAAATTTTATTAACAAGGAAAATGTTGCTGTACTACTGTAACATACCTTATCTCTTAGGGTACACAATACTGATCTCCTCAATAAAATTTGAAACTGCTTCCACATTGGCTGAGGATAACTTGTTTTTATAGAAACTTCATTCTCTGTACAGACTTGTATAACTGTGCCATTTTTGTTTGATGCTGATTGTAGTATTGTAGCTGAAATTTAAATTACACGAAACAAATATATATTTTTTTTCTGAAATTTGCACCACCCCACAATGGACAACACATCCACCCACCATGAAATAAGTAGTAAAGCCTTCTAAGCAGCATTCAGAATAGTAATGGGATCCATAAAGTACCACAAACTGACAACAACAAATAAAATACAGGATAAAATACTGAATTAAAATAATATGATATAGCCAAGGCTACAGAAATAAAAGATATGGTAACCTCAGATAACACATCACTACAATGTAAATTTTACAAATATAATAATATAATGACACTAATAGGCACCAAAAATACAATTTATATATTTACAATAACAAATTATATGTATTAATAATATGTGACACAAGCCACAAGGCTTCTTAAATTAAAAGACTTTTATATTGTAACGTGTTTAGGTTACTGAAGACACCATTTGGATTGTTAACTGGTTTATTTAACAACCTACAAGTCTTGGCTACAATTAATTACAACACTGTTGCGGGTTTCCACAGTTTACAAACCCTATGCACAAATCTCTTCACACTGTCCTCAGTAGTCTACACGTATTCACAGTACGGGAGCTATACGAGTGTCTCTGTATTACACACACATCCGGTTGTTCTTTCCGCTACAACTACTAGATTCCAACTCGCTTCATAGGCTGCTGCCTTGAGAACTGTCTTCGTAGGCAGTGTAGTTCTCTTATAAACCCTCAGCCAGACAATGGGAAACGCCTCGCTTCCTTGTTGCCTAGTTGCCGTGTTTGCCAATAGCCTAGCAACGCTGTTGGGAGTTGTTTACGGCTACATAGCAACTGCAGCGTCCCGCATTATGTAATGGGTACCACTGTTTACTCGCTTTGCATAGCGATCAGCGTTATTGGACTCGGCTCACTTCAGCTCCGCTCGGCATGTCACAGCTGGCGGAGAGGGAGGGGCATCATCCATAGCACAACACGTCACAATATTAGAAATAACAAATTTATGTAAACAGATACAGTTCTGTCTTCTGGGATATAACTCCATGTAGTCCACTTTAAATTCAACTGACTATTTGGAGAAGCATGTCGACCCTTCACACCTAAAGATGACATGTTCCTCTGAAATATCAGTTGACTGTTAGCAGATTACATGTTGTTATATCCCAGAAAACAGAACTCTTCAAAACCACCACCGTGAGAACCTCAGCTCCTACACATAGAGTTCTGCTGCCATACAGGTATGCACTTAGACATATTTTAAATTTACATTTCAAATACAAACTGTAAATACAGTAAGCCAAAAGATGCATTTGTTTGTGTCTGCGTGCATGCATGCATGGATATGTAGGCTTTTCTTTTTATTTGTTTCATTCTGGTCCGTCACACTAACAATTACAAAGACAAGAACAAACCGTCCAGTGTGACTATTTAAGTTTTACCATTTGAAAACTCATCACCCTTACATGTTTCAATCCCTACGGATCATCCTCAGAGGGCATCAATACTTTTTCCGGAAACTACTATTACAATAGGTGTTAAATTATATACATATACACATAATGTCTGAAATATACAATGTACACAATGTTCAACTTTTCAGTAACAGCAACCGTCCTGGTATTAAAATTTTAAAAGTTTTTTAAAAACTTTTAAAAACAACACAGCAAGCCACGAACAAACACGGACAATACTAAGAATCTCCTTTCTCAAGATAGACAGGCGGCACAATATGAGCCACCTCCAAGAAAGACAATAGGAGAATTGACACGAACCTGCATGATTTATAAGTTTTAATCTTAAACAACAAAGTTTTTACCAGTGGGAGTCGTTTTTCCTATAATTTTTGTGTACTGTGTCTTGTGATGTGTCCTTCCTTTTTGGCTGTGAGCGTTGTAATGTAATGTTACAACGTTCGCAGCCAAAAAGGAAGGACACATCACACGACACAGTACACAAGATATATAGGAAAAACGACTCCCATAGTGGAAGAACCATACAATACGCGAGTTTGAATTAAGCTGCATAAGATGAATAATCTTAACAAGTTTTAGTGTATACAGATTTTATTATAGTTGATGAAGAATGTACATTTTAATAATTTTATGAAAGACACATGATGGCAAGCAATGCAATAGCTTAGCGTAAATAAAGCACCTGAGGATGGCACAATGTTGCCGAAACATGTAGTGAAGTGACATGAAACTGAGTGCACTACAAGATGGCCATTACATAATAAAATATCAAGTTTTTGAAAAATAACTCTATATATATGATTGATACTAAGAATAATGATCATCTTCATGTAGCTGATTCTCGTTTATCAGCTTATCAGAGAGGTGTATATTACTCAGGTATCAAGCTATTTAATGTATTACCTGATGGTATCACAATTTTGAGAACAGACAAAAATCAATTTATGAAGGCTTTACTAAGTTATCAGCTGAGAAATTTTTTTCGTACACTATCAATGAATTTATAGAGCATACAAGAGTTACAAAGATAGAGGTTAAATAAATGGTACGAGTAAACATTGTTAAGTTACTCCCTTTGGTTGGATTTAATAGTGGCTGTAGTGGCTGTACTGATTAATTTAACACTTGACAATTCTAGTCGGTTAAGGCTGAGAATGGACTTAACATGTATGTAATTTTTCTAAATGGGAAAATTGGACTGACAACTTGTGCTCTTTGCATGAGGCTCTATTTACCTTATATATATTTTAATATTTTATATCTTAAATTTTATATGTTATATTTAATATTGTATATTTATATTTATTGCATGTGATCTTTTATATAAGACTTTGTATGTGACAAATTTTATATCCAGCCCTACTGGGTAACAACTGGATTTATGAAATGTAATTACAAATAAACAAATAAATAAATAAATTCTCAAAATAGAATTATGATTATTGTTTAGAAGTGAAATCATTAGCCAAACATATTTAAACTCTGACTAAATTATGGTATTTAAACTCTGACTAAATTATGGTATTAACTGGGAAATCTAGAAAAGATACTGATTTTCTAAGAAAGTAAGAAATAACATTTCATTATGTATGTGTGCTTTCACTTACTCTCTTCATTGTCTCCATTCTGCTCATACTCCAGTGGGCCACTTTCTTCAGAGTTGAATTTTGCAATCAGTTTGTCTGTGTTGTTACCTCTCTGGCCACTTGCAACTTCAATTGCTGAAAATATTTTCAACTTTTATACATTCCTATAAAAGGAAAACTTGTTATACACAACTATAGCCAAGTAAAACACATCCTTGACTCATACCATACATATCTGCAGTTCTAAAGGTTAGGCTATAAAGGCAGTACTAATCTGTCTCTGACAAAACTCAGCAGTACGGGCACTAAAAAAAACTACTCACAGATATCTAAGTGTGTCAAAATTCGTAATCTATGTTCCTTAGCCTGCCAAACACAGAGGCCGTGCAGTCTAAGGCATGAACTGTCTTCACCCATTCAAACACTGGGATCTTGGGTTCGAATCCCACTTGAGGCATGGATGTCTGTGTGCGTTTATTCTGTGTTTGTGCTGTCTTGTGTGCAGGCAGCAGTCTTGCGTGAGGCTGATCTCCTGTCCAAGGAGTCCTACCAAATGTATAAAAGATCTAGAAACTGAAAAAGCAGCGATGGTCTAACGAAGGGCTGTAGACCCATAGATAGATAGATCCTTAATCTGAAGGGATAGATATGTTTATGGAATTGTGACATGAATGACTCTGTTCCCCCTTTCAAGGACTTCTGAGCAAAGAGTAGATTTCTTGAAATTTGGTCTGAACATAATGCCACTAAAGGCCAACCCACCAATAAACTTTCTAATTTTTTGCCTTCAGTAATATCAACATCAAAGATGGGAGCAACATCAGCAAAGCATTATGTAGGATTCTCAAACATGCATGGTAATAGAGTTCTGAAAGATACACAACCCTTTTTACTCCTGTCACTCTTTACAGAGATATTTACACACCATAATATATGTAGCTTTACATTTTCTTTCATTCTTTTGTCATGTTATTCCTCAAGAAAATCAAGACTTTCCTGGAGTTCAAAACATGATGGCTTAACAGGCCTACTAAGTTATTTTACATTTCTGAAAACTCTGTCTAATTATAGACACATTTAGACCTACCAAAATCTGCTCTGTTGTAGAAATTGGGGCACAGAAATCCTGCTTCCTTAAAGACAGATGTCAGGTCACTGATTGGTCCGTTGTAAAGACACTGCCCTTCTGCTATAAGATACATGTCATCAAACATCTGAAAGAGTCGTGAACTTGGCTGATGGATAGAACAAACCACTGTCCTGCCACCTTCAGCCAGGGATTTCAGGTGTGAGATCACTTGTAGGGATGAGAAACTGTCCAGCCCACTGAAACATTGTCAACTTTAATAACACAGAGACCATATCATGCATATGAAAAGCATGCCATCTTTGGATAAGATGCTGTTCTGACTCAAGTACAAGAATGCCAGAATCAGTGTAGATTTTCTGCGTGCCTTACTCATTCCTTACCTCTAAGTAAGCCAGATATTTGTTAAAGCTACTCCATACTCATGTAAAGGAAATGTTGATCCATAACCTAGTGACGTATGGGTGCCTTCAATTTAGAATGTAACTCCTTATGGTAGATGTTTTTAGTAGCATCTTCCTGTGTTTTAGAGCTACAGTACCAAAGACCAAACCATTAGATTTTACACAGATATAGCTTTCATCATCATCATCATCATCATCGTCATCATCGTTGCCTTCATCATGAACTCTGTAGTATCAGACCCCTTAAGAAATATTCCTACAAATTCTAAGTTGATACTGGCCTCTCCATCATTGTTCTGGCCATCCTACATCTTGTTGTCCCCTTGGTCGGTAACAAGAGCTAACTGTGGAAGGAAACATGTTTCTCTTCATTCCAAATGATATTTCCAATTCTGATGGTATCCTTGAATCTGTTGAACTATACTTAAATTTCAGTCTTTCTCTGATTTAAGAATTCCTTTGGTGGTCTAATCTAGTGAAGCCCAGCAGTGGTATCAAAAACGTATTTGCACTGCCTTTAATTTTTCAGACTGATTTTGGTATATAATCCTAATTTTACCACTATAATTAAAAGATGAGGGTGTTTGAGAACAGGGTGTTGAGGAGAATATTTGGACCGAAGAGAGATGAAGTGACAGGAGGATGCAGAAAACTGCATAATGAGGAGCTTCATAACTTGTACTCTTCTCCAAGTATACTTAGAATGATCAAGTCAAGGAGGATGAGGTTGGCAGGGCATGTAGCATGAATGGGGGAGACGAGGAATGCGTATAGGATATTGGTGGGAAAGCCGGAAGGAAAGAGACCACTGGGAAGACCAAGGCGTAGGTGGGTGGACAATATTAAAATGGATCTTAGAGAAATAGGATGGGATGGTATTGATTGGATTGATCTGGCTCAGGATAGGGACCAGTAGAGGGCTCTTATGAACAATGTAATGAACCTTCTGGTTCCATAAAATGCTGGGAAATTCTTGAGTAGCTGCAGAATTGGCAGCTCCTCCAAAAGGGCTCAGCTCCATGAGTAAGTAAGTAAGTAAACTGAAAGATGCTCTTGACATACGTTATACAGACATAATTTTGTATCACTTGATATCTGTGTGCCAAAATTTCTTTTAATTGAACCATTTATTCTACTGTACCCTTGTAACTTTATGTGAATATCTTTCTTCAGTTCTGAAAAAAATGTTTCCCAAGCTAATATTCAGACACTTATTTTATAATTATTCTCTTTGACAAGTTACTTTAGTTTTCAGTACAGATGTTCATGTCATATTTACATACAGTTTCGTTTAGTTGGTGTATTGCTATTTGGAATTTGTCTTTAGATTTGCTATTACTATTAGATCATCTGTGTATAATGTTGTCAGAACTGCTCTGTTATGTGCCAATTGGAACTTACTTTTAGCAGTCTGTATCATTCCTTTAGTTTCTTGACATTTATGTTAAATAGTGCTGGGGCAGATCACATCCTTTTCTCACCCCTTTATTAGTTCTAATGGGGATTGAAATTTACCACATAGGATACGCGATGCAATATTGTCACAGTTTTATAACGAGGAGATTTCTATGTGAACTTTATGCATGTTAATAAATAATAAAATTAGTTATTCTGAATATTTTTAGCATTACAGATTATCACAAGTTAAAACTGAAGTAATTCCATGTCACAACTTTGTCTCTTTCTACACAAAACCTCTCACTCTTTTGCCTTCTTGTGTGTCTCGGGTTATAGTGCCTTTCAGTAGAATAGGCTACAAAATCAGAACAGTCCAAAGGAAACTAAAAAAAAATACTGCTTGGAACTGAATGTACCTTGTAGGCTCATCAAAAAACATGACTGGTGGATTTGTTAATAACTCAAGGCCAATTGATAGTCTCTTCTTCTCCCCTCCAGATAATTTTCCAACGGGTGTATTCATCACCTTCTCCAAGCCAAGAAGAGCCAGTATCTCATTAACCTGTCATAAAAGTTATGCTCATTGGTAAGATTTCACTTTATATTTTATGATATATATGTAGAACATGTTATAATAATTGACGCCTTTAGTAAAATTACAGTTTACATTCTGTGATATATATTGTATCGTGTAGGCCAGTTACTGGGTAATGGCCTCAAATGCCTACTTTGGCATTTTCATATGGTATTTATGGAATTTATCATATACGTGTATATGTTCTACTTCTTCGTAGAATCTGTCCTTTACATCATCAATATTGTTCTCTGTTGGGGCATAAACATTCAGAACAATGACATCACACCAGGGACATCTTATTATTATGTATGACAAGGGCCGCGCCATAGCTTAAGCGGTTAGTCGCTGGCTTTCCACCACGGCGGCCCGGGTTCGATCCCGGGTCTGGTCAAGTGGGATTTGTGGTGGACAAAGTGGCGCTGGGGCAGGTTTTCTCCGAGTACTTCGGTTTCCCCTGAAAATCTTCATTCCACCAATTGCTCCACAGTCACCCTCACCTATCATCTGGGGCTGGTACAATAGGCCAGAAGAGGGACTTAGTGCCATCCCACTAGCAATAAAAGAAAATTATGTATGATATCCTATCACTAACAGATTCAACCCCCTTGACTGCTGATACGATTCCCTTATGTACGAAAAAACCTGTACCTAATTCATGGTTCTCATTCCCCTTTCCATAGAAAAATGTATATTCACCTGCTGGTTCGGTGCGACCTTTGTCCCATCTGACCTCCTGTACTCCCGCTAAATCTAATTTATATTTTTATATTCCTTCAGCCACGGATCTTGAGCGAACCTGTCCCATACATACTTCTTACAGTCCAGTTTCTTTGGCTTGTCATTCATGTAAATTATCTGTCCAGGTCCGAGGACCTTTGTAACATTTCGTAACAAGCTTATTTTTTAGGTCGAGGAGTTGTTAGCCCCACGACAAACCCCGAATGTGGAGGACAGTCCCCTTGTCAGCTGTCCGCGACTGCTTATTCAATACTATATTCACAGCTTCCCTCCAAAACTGGAAGGCGTCTCCTCCATCCGCAACCTGACGACGCGCCATGCCGTGGTGACTAGTGACCCACATAACATGGCTTAATTACGCTAGTTTAGAAAAAATGAACAGTTTTTTTAATTATGCTAATGCAGAAACAAAATATTCATTGCGAAATGTTCAGCATGTACTAGAGTTTCTTCTTTTAATTAAAACGGTGCTGCTACTCCTCGCAAGATGTACGTGCATACACGAGCCACGACAATTCCTCTTGACAAATAACGACAGTTACAGTAAAACGGGAGTGACTGATACAGTTCAGTGAAGCATTTACTTTTCAACGGACGAGTCTTAATGTAATTTACAGTTTTGATCACAGTATCCATCACTTCACTCAGTTCTGGGCATAATTCCTTTGTAGCCAGTGATTCACGATATATCACAGTGTGTCCGCACAGTATCTTGTGCTGATCGTTTCATTAAGGCCTGCAGTTCGTCTTTATTTCCCCCAATTACGCGAGCTGCAGCCATGCATACTCAAACACAGTCTGATCATTTTATGCTTTTACTCCCCTTTTTTCATAAATCATCAACAATTTTTTAAGAGTTATTTTGGCCACGCCATAGCTCAAGAGGTTAGTCTCTGGCTTTCCACTGCGGCGGCCCGGGTTCGATCCCGGGGTCTAGTCAAGTGGGATTTGTGGTGGACAAAGTGGTACTGGGGCAATTTCCTCCTGGTACTTCGGTTTTCCCTGCCAATCTTCATTCCACCAATTGCTCCACAATCACCCTCACCTATCATCTGGAGCTGGTACAATAGGCCAGAAGTGGCCGCAGTGCAAAGAACTTAGTCCCACCCCACTAGCAATAAAAAAAAAGTTATTTTGCAGTTGCTCTTCTTTTTAGGTTTGCAGAAAAACATGTCTTTACTAATTTTCGCATCTTTAATAAATCGCACGTAAGCTATCAAGTTTCCAAATCCATTTCAATCAGTCGCCTCGTCAATCTATATTGAAAAACGTCTGTTTCTCACAATATAACATAACAGTGCGTAGACTTATATTGTCGCTTACTTCCTAAAACCACCGATGCTCCACAAGTTTGAATTCAATAATATTGTATGACAACCAAACTACTTCAACAAATCAAAGGATTTTAAAAATACTTCTTCATAGGTCGTTCAAAATAGTTCCTCGTATAAATAACACGCCCCTCCCACCAGGGGTGGGGGCGCCCCACACTCTGGGAACCTCAGCTTTATACAATAAATGGACATACAGAAAGACCATCAGCTGCATTATTAAGAAGCTTCTCTGCTACCCTTTATCTCATATGGGTACCATTGCAGCTGCAGAAGACTCCTTGCAGTATGCATCACTTGTTTGTTTCCCCTTTCTTTAGATTCAAAAGTCTGTTGCAATATCGAACTGATATGATGTAATATACACTTGAATGATACTTATATGAAAAATAAACCATATAAATCATGTGAAAGAAGGTTTTTGCCATAAGTATCCTTGAGTTCGAGTTCGAGTACAGGTTTCAACGACATCATGGACAGCAACTATATTATATAGTTATAATATATAGAAAATTATATCTACTGCCATATAAAATTAAACATATTCAAGTAACTGAAGGAGGTAATTACAAGAGAACGCATTTAATAACGTTTTTCTTGTAGACAGTACATAACAGCTTAAGCACAGTACTTGTGAAACAATTAATTACGGCTATAAAGTGACGCTGATCATTCTGAGCCCTTATTTATTTGGATTATAGATGACCATGAAATTTATTTCTAATTAATTCTCGGTAATTTTAATTTCAAAAGTCTTATGTTTCGATATTACTGGAACTTTATTGTGATCTACAATATCGTATTTCATTGTCTGGGACGTGCAATACGGTGTTTATGTTGAAATTTCTAGATTCTGGCAGAACCAAGAATTCCGGAGTTCTGACATTTACGGGCAGTCATAAATTTAGCTCGGGTACAGGGAACCGGACGCGCCTAAAAGGAAGGTCAATGAGAAGGACAGGTCAGAACTTGTTACAGTTGCCTGTGAATGAGGGCCAGTATGATTGAGTTGCCTCGTTCAAGCTTCCTTACGGAAGATGGAATGAAATGTATATGTCCACACCATGGAGAATTCGAATTCTTTCGAATTCCCGGCGTGGGGTGTGCAAGCCATTCCACAAAGGGAGACTTTCACCATATTCCGAAGTGAACGGACGTGACCCTTGCACGCTCCGAGACATAGCTTGCAGATATAACTTAAAGCATAAGAATACATTAATTTAACAGTGTGGTTGGGAGAACAAAAGGTGAATAAACGTCATTTGGATGAACTCCCAGAATACCGCTTTCTTAGGCATCGCTACCCTGAGACTCATGCAAACCGACCCAGCTAGTTTCCCGTACCTATACCAACCTTCCTTAGTTTGATCTGTGAGGACAACTTGCAGTGATCATCATACACTGTCCTAAGGTAGAAACAGATGTAGCAGGGATAGCACCATTCCGACTGAGCTGATATAAACAAAGGCGGGTTGGAAAAGATCGGTGTTACAAGGTCACTGAACTCACACTGTTGCCGAAAAATCTTTTCAAGGGTCTTGAAGTTTTATTAAGAGCAGAAGGAAAATATTCCCAGCATCTGGTGTGGTTGTAAGTTCGTTTAAACAGTTCATTTACTCTCGAAATGTGTATGTTTATAATGTCCGGCATATTAGCCAGATGCTAGGCCCCTTTATCTTTGCAGATGACGGTTAAGGTATCAGGCAAGAGGCCAGTGGTATTACAGGTGATCTGATGCTTTGATAAACTCTCTCTATAAACACGTGCACGAAATTTATTTTATGTAATCTGAAAGAGTAAAGTTCGAGGAAACAAGATATTGTGGCTACGAGTACATGGACTCACTGAACTCTCTTGCCTTGTGTGGGCCGCTTGCCTGCTTCACCACGGACATGTGCCTTGAAACCTGATAATCAGACACACTTCTTACCATTTCGTTCTTCTTTAGTTTCCCAATATCAGCATTTAATTTCAAATCAGCTGCAATCATTAATGTCTCTCTCGTCGTCAATAAGTGAAGTATGGCAAACTCTTGAGTGATGTAACATAACTTTTTCCTGAATTTCTGAACATTACGGTCTCTTCCATTAATCTTTACAGATCCGGTTACTCCGGTTGTTCTGAAATCATGAAACACTTTAACGTGTTAGAATTCCAATTTCCCTTACATTTTTTTGTATATGACTTAAACATGCATGTACATGAATGTACGCATATAATGTAAATAGTATTTATAAGAACACTGAAACTGATCTCTGAAACAAAAATTGGATAGAGTAAAATATATATAAAGCGCTTGGAATCTAATAAGAATATTTTATATATTATGTGCATGTAGTAGAACAGCATAGGACAGTTGACATCAAACTGTCAAACATTGGAACGATGGAAATTAACAAGAATACAGAAGATCCTTTTGATCACGGGAATTTTCTTCCATAAGGCTGCTTACTCACGGTATGATGCAACTACCAAACTGCTTTCGTTTATATTACTTTCTCGAATTGCCTTGTGGGTGCAATCTCAGCAATCGTGAGCCTAATTCTTTTTTCTGATATAATTACTTAATTATGTTTATTTTACTTATTTGTTTATGTGATGTACTTCGCCGACAAGCGGCGGTCGCTCGGTCAGTATAGTTCGTTTGCTGACTACAGGCCACGGTGTTTGTTTGCTTGTTTGTTTATTTATGCGATGCTGCAAGCAACTCAGACTATGGAGTAGCAGACAGTAAGAACAGTTAACAGCAGAGACGTTTTCCAGAACCGGTCCCGTATGTGTGTGTCACACAGTGCAAATAAAATTATTGCTGGCACATTGAAATTTGATTACTTACGATAGGATTATCGACGCCTTTATGTGACATTTAAATCGCTGAGGTGTCAAAATCACTCGCAATGAACAAATTATGCATAGAATTCTCAGAATACGGGCTTTGTAACATGGATCCACATCCCTATTTCTGAAGGTTGCTGCGAGAGTACCCAGAACTCGTTTTTTCTTTCTCATCGTTTGGTCGGTTATACTAACGGCACAGCATGAGCAGGGGGATTTCGGCGAAGTAATGTTTAACACAAAATTCTTAGTTGCTACTTAGTTTATATTAGTTGAATGGGTAACTGTTGTAAGCTCCGGACCACAGGTTGTGAAAAACTGCTTTATAGTGTAACACTTACATGAACCCTGACAGGACATTTATTAGCGACGTCTTCCCAGCTCCTGATGGTCCGACTAACGCCGTGAGGCGTCCAGAAAGAAACCTCCCGCAGATGTTTTTCAGTATTGGCTTCTGGGTTAAAGTTCTTACTGGAATAAATATTCCCATGTCAGACATTTAATAGTCTTGCGTCTATGTGCCAAAACAGCTTTACTTAACAATATGAACCTGGAATAACACTTGTAAATAATGATTATCATTATGTGTTCTTTGCACAAAGCCCACAGAGCGCATGCATAAAAAGTAAATCGGGTTTGTCCGACTGTTTGTTGCTTTCATCTCCAAATCTACTCAATGAGCTTCTGGGGCCCGATTCGGGGTAGGTCAATGAATTGTCTTTGCCATCACACTCAGACGGGCCGTGGGGCTAACCCAGTACCTTGTGTTACAGATTATCAACCTGTGAGGCGAGGCCGCCCAGCGGGGGGGGGGCAGCGTGCACAAAATTAGATTTTACTGTCGAACTCTGGAAATCACCGGGTGCCACAAGAGACTTGATGACGAAAGTGATTTGCGTTGTGCTCTTTCTTCCACGGAGCCGAGAATCCCAGAACTTGTGGCAAACATGCAGCAGCAGTACTCACACTGACAACGTTCCAGGTGAACTCAAATGTGAATTCGGATCCTACAGCCTCCAATCTCATTATTTTTAGAGTAAAAATTATTTTTCCTTTGTGTAAGCTTTCTTAAAACAAAAATATTCTTCGCTGATTTATGATGAAGTTCACAAATAAATATTAAAATTAGAGTAAAAAAGTAAAGCAAAGATATCCCTGTAACAGGCCGTGGAGGCCCATAGGGTTGTGAGATGTCGAGGTTCCCACATTTTCTAGATAATCGACTCACAGATGGCGGCAAGGTTGCTGGCCTTACGCGCCGGACGCCTTTTACCTCCAGGAATATTCCTGGTACTCATTTCTGTTGGAGGCTGAGTCAACCCCAGGGCCATAGTGCGGCTGGAAGGATTAGGTAAATTGAAAACTCCAATGAACTCATCGGGAATCGAACCCGCGACCTTCTGGCTTGTAGCATACTGCCTCAACCAACTACGTTACCGCGCGCCCCTTAGTTAGTTAGTTATTGGAGAGGGTGGGTTTCCCCATGCACTGAAACCTGTATTGGTCCATTGTGCTTCCCTCTATGATTTCTAGCAGTCTCTATATCCTACCGGTACTGGTGCTTACCATCAGTCCCGCCCAGCGAGCGAGACCGGCTCTATTAGCTGAGAGGTATCTATGATGCTTCCCCCATCTACCAGAGGTATTAGATACTGATGTTGGGCGGGAAACGTCCGTTAATTTGGCTTAGTGACCTCCTTTGGAGATATGAGGTTCTTTTACGTGCCGTAAAGCTACGACACGGGACCCACGGCTTAAAGTCCCTCCCGGAGGACTTGTTCCCTGAATTTTCCCCCCCTTAAAAATTCGACGACCTCCGCCGGGTATTTGAACCCGCGTACTACGAGTCATGAGGTGGGAACGTTACCTCTAGACTACGGAGGCCGCTTACCCCGCGCCCCTTAAGATTGGAGTATTTGTTTAATTTAAAATTAAATTATTATGCCTTATTTCAAGAGGGCCTAAGGTTTTATATTAACTGAAAGGTGAGCATTGTGTTTAAACGTTTGAGAGTCTCAGTGCAGCGCGCACCGGGAGTAAATCGGCCGGTGCGTGCATTTGAACATTCAGCTACACCCAGCGCTCTGAGTACGTAACGTGAAATGTTAGAAGATTAGTTAATAAGGAACAGGAAAGGGCATGGATGATGCGCCTAATATTGGGTGCTATCTGGGAATATTTCCTAAGGGTCTGAGGAAAACCATGAAATCTCTGGACAGCTGTTATCCGGGACGAGATTTAAAACCGAATAGAAATCATGAGCGCTGCCCTCTGGACGGCGACGGTCAGCATCGCGATTCTCACGATTCGAACTGCGACATTAGACTTGCATGCCATTTCACTGATTCATGCTTTTTGAAGTTACTTTACATCCATCAGTGCACAACGCAGTGCTGTCTGTCATGAAATTAACATCTGGCCGTTAACGTTTATAGAAAATCATCTTCTTGATAATTTCTTCGTGTCTAACATAAGTAATCCATCCTCCTATATCCAATCTGTATCTTATCTTCTTTCGAAGCACGTGGGTCTGTGTTTCAATTTAACTGCTCTTGCATGCACAACTCAAAATAAGCTTATGTACTAGCTGGAGATGACCTTCGAGTGGTTTATGGCTACTGCGTCAATTATACAAGGGTTTCGTTTATGCTACACTTGTCGCGTATTTTGAATCTTAGTATCAACGTGTTTAAGTTACTTTATTTACAATGTAAAACTACCAAAGTTATACGAGTAGGGCTATGTGATTGAATTAATTACGGTATGATTAATATGAATAAGTTAATGAAAGGGAAGGGCCGTGGTAGTATTAGATCGTGGCCCATTTCAAAGTAGGATATGTAATCCAGCGTTACTGAAAACTGTGCCACAGTTACGGCTGTGAAGAGCCTACAATACAACTGCAATATGAACATACGTATATACGTGGACTGAAGACTATGAAGGGACTAAAGTACGACTAGCACAAACATGAATTGATTATTGCGAAATGATGAACTCTCAGATTTCTTAAAAGTAATATTTCTGGCGTATGTAAGACGGAGAAAATCACTGACCCAAATCTAAGTTGATGGTAGCGAAACTGGAGTAATCTTTATGTGTTGCATCCTGTTGTGTGTCATGTATATTGAGTATTTTTACACCCGTTGACACAACAGGTTCTTATAAAAATATACAAATATAGATTATTTACATTAAAATCTTATAATCTTAAAAACAGAATATATAAAACTATAATTTTGCCTGTGGTTTTGTATGGGTGTGAAACATGGTCTCTAACATTAAGGGAGGAACATAGAGTGAGGGTGTTTGAGAACAGGGTGTTGAGGAAAATATTTGGACCGAAGAGGGATGAAGTGACAGGAGGTTGGAGATACCTGCATAATGAGGAGCTTCATAACTTGTACTCTTCTCCAAGTATAGTCAGAATGATCAAGCCGAGGAGGATGAGATGGGCAGGGCATGTAGTACCAATGCGGGAGAAGAGGAATGCATATAGGATACTTGTGGGACAGCCAGAAGGAAAGATGCCACTACGGAGCCCAAGACGTAGGTGGGTGGAAAATATCAAAATGGATCTTAGAGAGATAGCATAGGGTGGTACGGACTGGAATGATCTGTCTCAAGATAGCAAACAGTGGAGCGCTGTTGTGAACAAGGTAATGAATTTTCGGCTTCCATAAAATGCTGGGAAATTCTTGAGTAGCTGCAGATTTGGCTTCTCCTCAAGAAGGGCTCAGCTCCATGAGCAAGTATATAAGTATTTTTTATGGCTAGTGGGGTGGGACTAAGTCCCTTGTACTGCGGCCACTTCTGGCCTATTGTACCAGCTCCAGATGATAGGTGAGGGTGATTGAGGAGCAACTGGTGGAATGAAGACTGGCAGCGGAAACCGAAATACTCGGAGAAAACCTGCCCCAGCGCCACTTTGTCCACCACAAATCCCAGTTGACCAGAACCGGGATCGAACCCGGGCCGCCGCGGTTGGACGCCAGCGACTAACCGCTTGAGCTATGGAGCGGCCAAGTAAGTAAGTAAATAATCTTGAAAACACGACATGTTTCGACTCTTAGTGGGTCACCATCAGGTGTACTGTTTGTTCTTAGGCGCTGAACTTGTTTTGTAATATATAAAAAGGTCGACCTTCAACTAGATATACATTAATTTAACTAATTATATCTAATACCAACATAACTGGACGAAAATGTAGATGACACCCAGAGTTTTGTGACCAAGAATAATATTACGTGTTATATAGTCATATTCAAAATATGGATCCACATTACAAAACAAGTTCAGCACCTAAGCACAAACAGTAACCTGATGATGACCCAATAAGGGTTGAAACATGTCGTGTTTTTTAAGATTATAAGATTTTAATACAAATAATCTATATTTGTATATCTTTATAAGAAACTGTTGTGTCGACGGATGTAAACATGCTCAGTTAAACTGGAATAGGTTATTTATTTATTTATTCGCTAATGTCATCTTTCACACAGTGTATAGAACTGGTACAGACTGAGGAGGAAGATATTGTAAAATGGTTCGAGGTACCTGTCTCAATTGACTGAGGAAATCCTCGTTAGATGTCACTAGGTCCGGTATCGTGAACCATATTCGAATCCGGTATAGGTTTAAGTCATTCGGTTCGAATTGTTCGAAAACGGAAATAAGGCTTCTCTGAAAGTTTTATATTAATTACTTAAGGAAGCAAGAAAGGCAGTGCCGCGTAAGTTCTAATTCTAAAAGTCAACCAAAACTTTTAACTGCTGAGATGCAAGGAGTTACCTTCCTTGATCCCTCACACATCAAACAAACTTTGACCAAAGGTTAAATTTTTTTAAGCGTATATCTAGCGGATAGTATGGATTGTGGTAAGGATTAGATCAATGAAATAATTCATCTGAATTCATTTTTAACTTGGGACACCGTCATGGTAGCCACCAGGGAGGAGAAGCTAGCCATTTTCACTACCCTGGACTGAAAAATCGAAATTTAAAAAGAAGAAATTTTAGAAAATATTAATACCAACAATTAAAACCATTTAAAAATATTCTTCTATAGTGTACACTCCTGGGTGACCCGTAACAGTATACATAAAAAGGTTTAGGCATTAGTTTTGCAAGCATTCTTTTTTGTTGCCCCCCCCGGAAAGATTCTAGTAGTGCCCATGGATACCGCATTCAGTACAAATACAAAACGATTTCATCAATGACACGAAATTCATTGTCAATAATACAACGCTCTAATTTCTTATCTGCTTGCGAATACCAAGTCACACTACAAATGCCAACTTTAAGAAGAAAAAAAGAGATATAAGACTATTATTAAGCCCTGATATTTTCCCTCTTTGCTACACCAGACACACTTTGGAGATAAATATCTAACATTCCAGACTGGATAGTCAATAGCTTTTTCGACTGATAAAGACATTATGCTCCACTGTGATACACAAGGGTCCATCCCTGTCACGACTGAAGATAAACAACCACACGAAACTGTTATTGAATTTACCACAGGTATATTTTATTGGCATTCTCGATATTGAGCTGACATACAGCAAATCTCACCTTTCTTGCCTGACGGATAATAGCACAAGTTGTTAAATTCAATATTCAGACGCTCCTCACAATCCTCTATTTTGTTTCGCCCAGTCTCATGACGGTCTATCATGTTGCACCACTTGCTTCTCCTTCCACAGCCACTACGCAATGAGCTGTCTGTATCGTCTGTACGTTTGCCTGCCGAATAATCACACTGCTAGTACAGATACCAGCTGTCCCTCCAACCGTGTCAGCTGCATCTATCCAATCAGTGAAAGCTGACTCTGTAACAGCCAGTAGTATCACACCAATCGCAACACAGTCGCGCGTCGTATATAAATTTACTGTGTAGCACTTCACTTCCGTGGAAGTTTTAACTTTTCCGTTCCGTTTAATTCGCAGGGGTGCCAATCATGGGCAACACCACGATTTTTTTTCCCCAAGGGAAGGGCAGAAAATTTGCTTGCCAATTTACATTTTCTTCAATAATGGTTTGCTTTTAAAAATGTAAGAATGCCCAGATGCCTAGTTTGGCACCCCTTCACCTGTCGGTGCCCATGGACATGATGTAGCTGGAAAGTTAGATCTTCAGTCAGCAAATAGACCGATGTGTCTCTTCCTCATCTTGGTCTCTTGAGAGAATGGTCCATCGTGACTGGACTAGCCTCTCGATTTTATTTTTGCGGCTTATTTTACGACGCTGTCAGTGGCTAGAATGTTAAGTCGAATGGCTGGTTGATTTATGAAAGACGAACAAAAAATGCATTGGAGGAAATTTGCCGTGACCTATTGGGGCCTATCCCGCATTTTCCTGAAGGAACTGAGGAAAATCATGCAAAATCTCAGTCAGGATAGCCAATGTCACGGTTGAGATTCGAACCAAGCACGCACGCCCATGATAAACGTGTAAGGTAATACCAATAAACTAACCTACCCGAGCTACCGAATTTCATTACTTACTTACTTACTTAGTCATGGAGCTGAGCCCTTCCGGAGGAGCCGCCAATTCTACAGCTACTCAAGAATTTCCCAGCATTTTATGGAATCCGAAGGTTCATTACCGTGTTCACAAGAGCCCTCCACTGGTCCCTATCCTGAGCCAGATCAATCCAATCCATAACATCCCATCTCTCTAAGATCCATTTTAATATTGCCCACCCACCTACGCCTTGGTCTTCCCAGTGGTCTCTCCTTCTGGCTTTCCCACCAATATCCTATACGCATTCCTCGTCTCCCCCATTCGTGCTACATGCCCTGCCAACCTCATCCTCCTTGACTTGATCATTCTAAGTATACTTGGAGAAGAGTACAAGTTATGAAGCTCCTCATTATGCAGTTTTCTCCAACCTCCTGTCACTTCATCCCTCTTCAGTCCAAATATTCTCCTCAACACCCTGTTCTCAAACACCCTCAGTCTATCTTCCTCCCTTAGTATCAGAGACCAGGTATCACATCCATACAGAACCACAGGCAAAATTATAATTTTGTATATTCTAATTTTTATGTTTTTGGACAACAGACGGGAAGACAAAAGGTTCTGGACTGAATGGTAGCAAGCATTACCCGAGTTCAATCTCCTCTTAATTTTCTCCTGAATTTGCGTAATTTCAGAGTCTTTGTCTCACTCTTTCGAAACTCACTTATGTAGAGAGACTTGTTTGTGTATTTATTCGAAACATAACTAACTGTATGGAGCAAAGCCCTTCGTGAAAAACTGATAGATGCTCAGCTAGACAAAATTTTACTTGTCGATCATGGAACCCAAATAGTTAGTATAGGATTCTGACGATGGTATATAACACACAGAGATATTGGATTTTCGGACTTTATCCATCGTCCTGGTTTTAAAGATAACTAATAAAAACACGACGTTTCGGAAACTGGATCTGTTTCCGTCCTCAGATGAGGGAAAACAGGGTCTCTTAGAAAGAGCTAGCCTCACCGATTGATTGAGGCTAGCTCTTACTAAGGGACCCAACAGGATAGGTGTTTTCCCTCACCTGAGGACGGAAACAGATCCAGTTTCAGAAACGTCGTGTTTTTGTTAGTTATCTTTAAAACCAGGACGATGGATAAAGTCCGAAAAGCCTAAATCTCTGTATGGAACCCAAGGTTCTTTACAGTGCTCTGGACAAAAACTGGTTCTTATACTGATCCAGATGAATCTAGCTCACCGCAACAACATATTCTCTTATTATAGATTTTAATATTATCGTCGTTTTCCAAGTTGTATCTTTTCCAGCTTTTCTGCCTGAAATTTCCCACGTCGGTTACACATCTGACCTCTTTAATTGTCCCTGATTTTACAACCGTAATAAAATTTGACGAAGAGTAAAAATTATGAACTTCTTTAGTGAACAACTATTCTCATGTTCTTGTCACTCTGTCTAGTTCCAAATATTCCATCAGAACCCTGTTCTCGTACACCCTCAATATATTGTGGCATGAGGACTCTAAGACGGAGTAGTTTAACAAGAAAACTCGTCCATTGCTAGGCAATGGATGCCAACACCTCAATAATACCTGGTCAATTGCCAGGCAAAGGCCCACAACAATAATAGAACAGCTGGATGCGATGTTTTCTATGCGGGCCCTTGACAACTGACTATGTACAATGCCGACATGTAAAATTGTAAATATAGATGATATGTGCTACTGATTTTGGCAGCTGTAAATATGACTGCTAGCAGCAATTGTAAACAACAGATCCGTCCTCTTGTCAGAGAGGACTTTCCACATGAACAAACCCGGAATTGTCCGACAGTAACAAAAATCTGATCTTGGGCCCCAGGTTTGGTTTGACACCGAGACTGACCATCGGTCGTAACATGACTGTTACTTTGATCTGACTTGAATTTAGACAGTGATATCCAGTGAAGGGTAATGGTAGTCAGTGATGGCTGGTCATTCCTAGGAGGTCGTAAGTTGTAGTTGAGTTTTATTTTTTTAATTCGCTTAGTGGGGGGTGGAGTCCAATTGGGTCCACTCGGCACGGAGTCCACTGATTGGCCTATTGAAGCCTGTCCCGGGTGATTATGATGATGGAGAATTTGGTGGAATGAAGATTTGTAAGGGAAACCGAAGTGCTCGGAGAAATCCCGCCCCAGCGCAACTTTGTCCACCACAAAACCCACTTGACCAGACCCGGGATTAGTGAGTACGGAAGCAAAGGAATATTCATTGTGAGGAGCCGTCACCAAGCATCGACTAGTGAAATCACATAAAGCTTTATGTGTGCTGCCGTTACAGATATTTAAATCAGCAAGGCTGCTATAATCCGTTGTAGTTAAGAGTTATATAAATATATAAGAGTTCACTAAGTCCAATTGTCAGTCCAAACTCTGTGTCTAGTCATTAACAGGTGTCAGTATACAATGATTGTGATGTTAGTCATTATCAATCAACCTGTTTTTTATTTAAAACACAACGTTTCGGAGAGTGTATTCTGTCTCCGTCTTCAGGTAAATTTCGGATATATACCGGGTCCATACTAGTTATGTAAATAAGATGTAAAAGTTCCTAGCGATGGTATATTAATACAATTATTTTTAAATAATTTAAAATAGAAAGCAGGCCGATGAATACTCTTGTTCTCTTGGAACGAAGGACCAGATTGCCTGAAGGTTGTCCGGTTCGAATATAAATAGATGTGATGTAATTAAATGCCTGAATCAGCAACTAAACAGGTGTTTGTTTAGACTGTACGAAGGAAGCATTCGGCTAGATTATAGGCGAGTGGATTTTCTGAAATGGCATTTCTGGTGCTGTGGTCATCATACACCGTGAACCGCCATCTTAATTTTTCACGAAGTCCCTTGAGTGGTTTCCAGGAGTTACAAGATTACATTTATACGAGTACGTAGGTGAATTGCGGTTCAAGAGCCAACTGTTGACGTTGTGTAGCCTCGATACAGACAGCGTCTTCAAATAACAAAAAAAAAAAAAAAGAAGCAGCCAACTTAATACTTTTTTAGTCTTCGCCATATTTCCTCAGAATAATTATGATAGTTGGCAAAATAAAGCCATACAGCCACGTTTATAGCGGCGAAATAGTAGTTTGGCTGATCACAGTGGCCGCGTGGCCTACAGCATGAACCGCCTTCGCCTGCTCGAACACTGGGATCGCGGGTTCGAATCACACTCGGGGCATGGATATCTGTGTACGCTTATTCTGTACTTATGTTGTTTGTGCAGGTAGCGGCCTTGCGACAGGTTGATAACCCGTGCAAGGAGTCCTGCCGACTGTGTGTAGGATTAAAAGACAGAAAAAGCGGCCAAAGCCCAAGGGGCTGTAGAGCTACAGGGAGAAGTCGTAGTTTTGTGTGACGCAAATACAGCCACGTGTTTGTGCTCCAAACAGATAGGCTTCTTTTTTTTCGGGTCAATAGCTCCATATGATAAAGCAGCCTGTAATTAAGTATCTTTCCTGGTCAATCCTGTCTGAGCAACTTCGTGACGCAATATAAATCAGTGTCGTAGACCTGCTGCTATGAATGCTGTGTTTCATATGAGAACATCTCTGTCCTTGACAGTATGTAAAGCAGTGCTCTGTTGTTAATAATAAAGTCATTTTTTAGTTAAGGCGTTGCACCGTTATGTAGTTCAACGTTCAGTTTTTTATGTTCTAGATTCCCGCTGCGAAAGAGTGACCTGTGACCTTCGCCCGGGTCGCAATCGTCAGAACTCTTCACCTGAAAAACGAGCAAGTGAACAAATAAACGATCAAGGTCGCGAGCTCTATTCCTCTCCTTAGCAACTAAAGGCGGGTTTACAGTGGGGCAACTTAAAGCAATCTAGTTGCCCTCCTCGGGCGACTATGTTTGCCGTCCAATTTATCAAGCAGCATGCGGCCGGGAGCAACCGTTGCCGCATGCGACCGAGCCCATTTACACCCAGAGCGACTGGTTGCTTCAATTTTTACGTCAGCTTGTGTAGAGATGTCACTGCAGGCAGTTGCTGCTGCGGCTTGTCTCATTTTTGGCAGGAGAAGAAAACGTCAGAGAAGAGTGTGGTGCAGGAACATTTTTATTAATAGTGATATAGCTGTGGAAGGTCGTTCTGAGATTTTTAACCTTTTCTTTTGCTTCCTTCACCGAACATTCAAACTTCGTGGCTAATTCCTCCCATAACTTCAGCTCGTTCCGATTGTCTTTATAATTGGGATCCCGCAAATCCCACAGAAAGCTCTTTTCGCGGTATTCTTCGATAAGACACTTGGCTTTATCCGTGTCCCAACTCATCACGACGCATGCGAGTAGGCAACTGAATGCACTAGCGATGGATAA